GGGAAGGAGCAAAGACTTGTACCGAAGGAGATACAGTGGGCTGACCTGGAAGAGAGGAAGATCTCATGAAGTTCCACACACTGCATCTTAAAACACAAGTAACTAGATTGATAAATGTATAGACAGTTTCTCTCATCAAGACTGCAGGGGAGCGAGTGGGGAAAATATCAAGGCAAAATTTCTCAAAATAGTACATTGATAAGATGGTAAAAATCATAAGACCCCCTTCCTAAGGGAGAGAAAAACATTATTTAAAAGTTAGAGGAGACCTTTGGATGACTGCCTTTGCATTCAGAAGTTAATTCTAACACCACAGGGGGCTATCATGTACCATGGACAAAAGAGATTCCTATTGTTTGGTATAGGAGCCTAAATAAAACTTTTATTTTAAATGATTTGTTCTCCCAAATCATTGGCAGTCTACCAACAATTCTTGTAGTTAGTTCTGTGAACCAGAAATTCTTTCCACCAGAGTCCTGCATGTTCCCACTTAGGAATATCTGCAGGTGTCCGCAGGGGAGTTACTTTCCAAAACATTTCGAAGAGGAAATAATTTTCTGATTATTTTAACCTTGCTTGAGCAGCAATTATTTTTCTTTGCATTTTGTGGAAGAGAAACGAGACAGCATCAAGAGAACATCTGGACAACAGCATTGCTTAGAGAGAAGTACAACTGGTAAATGAATTAGAATTCTTTTTTTAAAAAAAATTATCTCCTATGTCTGGTGGAAGATTAGAAATTAAGTGCCTTCTGTCTATTCAGATTGCTTACCCCCATGTTGGTTTCTCTCTCTCTACGTGTGTGAGTTTGAGAGAGAGGAAGAGAAATAAATTATTTTTAGTTCCCGAATGCAGTGATGTTCTTTCTCTGTGCTGGAATAGTCAACTATGTGAGCTGAAGTATGAATCCTTTTCCTAGGAAACACATTTTGACTACACAAGAGAATTAAAGGGCAGAAACAGAGTTGAGTTCCATGGAATGCATTGATGCCAACCCAACTTTCCAGAAACATTCAAACTCAATGGTTTAAATGTTTAAGAGTTGAGTTTCACATCAACCCAACTTTCTAAGAACATTTAAACTCAATGCCAAAGAAAACGTGGCCCAATCTCCTAACCCAGATTTCTTTTTACATTTTGTGCAGAATGTCTTAGAGATCTGCAATTTATGTTAGATTCCAACATGATGAGAAATGACTTGAAAACCTATTCTGAGTTGGTTCCCATAGCCCGATATTGATGAAATGTTTTTTTGATCTCCTTATTCCAAGTCACTGAATTGAAAGAATACATATGACATGCTTGCCATCGAGTAACATTTCCTGCAGATGTCCCTCACAAAGTCATCTTACTCTTTATAAAAGGTTACTCATTTTCCCCACCCAGTTAATCAATTCTTTAAGGGATCTATCTCAAATGATCCTCTGAAAGAAATATATTGGATTTAAAATTTTTTTTATCATTGGTTTAACGCATGCAGGAGAAAAATAACAAAACTCTGAACATCTGCAAAAGAGATAATATCAACATTTCTAGTCCTTTACTTGCATACTATGTTTCTTATCTGTGTTAAATAATTTGAATTTAAGTCTTGTCCCAATTTATCAATTTTGAGGGGAGTAAACGAGAATTATGGTGTGATGTGAAGGTGGTTGATCTTATTAGTTTGGAAAAAAAATAGGAAAAGACAATTCAAGCAAACAGCCGTATATCTTCCTGCTGGAAACCCAACACATTAGTTAGATATCACTTTTGTTTCTTTCACAATCATACCATATTCATTTACCCCTTTGAAGATTGTTTCGGAAAGGGACCTCACAACTGAGAAATTCAGGTTAATTCACATATCCATTTCTGCAAATTTGAGCCATTGAGAAAACAGTCCCCTCTGAATCTCTGGTTGTGGCTATCCAACCCATTAATCTACACAATCTGAGAGATGCTTATATCATTATAAAATTTCCCAGATTGTGCCTGAATCTGAAAAATTTGGCAGAGGTGAAGGTGCATAAATCTAACCCTAGATCTAATAGTAGATCCTGCAGTGGATCCCTTTTCAATCAAAGGAAAATCCCAGCACAGAGTCCATTGAAGCTGGGGTGGCTACAAAAAAAACCCTTGAATAAATAATTAAAACAAGAGAGAGAGAAAAAAACAAGACAACATCAGGATATGTAGTAAAGATTTACTCCCTGCATTGGCTGATTTGGCTGTTGGAATGAATGATGGACGGTTGATCAAACATTCCAACATTTTAATGTAATTTTGACGGCGGAAGATTAAACTCTCTGCCTTGTCTTTCAGAGGCTGTAAGATGATAGAGACTTTTTTTTAAATCAAATGATAAAGCAAAAGAACAGATTGACCACGGATCATACTTCGGCTTAGTTAATTCCACTTGGGAAATCTAAACACAGGGTGCTAAAGTCAAACCTTCAGCCAATCCCATTCAGTTCCATTGAAGAGAACATAATACAAATTAATCTCTCTGCTTTCCTTTAATCCACAGAAAAAATTATGCCTGAGTATAAAAGTAGTGATCAGTGAGATTTCTCGGGATCTCATTGACCCTGATCACGAAAATCAAAGTGTATCTGCGAATAGGAAAGACGAAACAATATAGATTCGAATCCACCTGTCCTGACTTGGGCTAAATGTTCAATTCTCATTGAAAAAACATTACCATTGTTGAATCAAAAGTAACCCTAAAATCAAAGTGCATGGAGTCAAAGTAGGAAAAGAGGAGGAAAAAGATGAAAAAATGAAAATATCACACGCAGAAAGAAAGATTTGGGATCAATTAATTGACTTACCTGTGACGGTTAGGCCGGTTCCTCCTCCGAACACCCACCACAGTGATACACAGCTGTACATAAACCTACTCTCTCTTGATGCTCTTGAGCAAGTGGTGGATCTCCTTGACATGGTCATTTCAAGTCTTTTAAATCCCATGGAATGTATTTTGGAAAAAGAAACCAATGGTCCATTTTCGGAGTAGTAAAAGAAGGACCTGTTAGTGATTTATAAAGATCTCAGGTCTTCGAGAACTTCAATTCCTGAAGTGATTCCTTTCTGGATGCAGGCAGATGGTAGATTCCTTCAAGATTATGTGAAAGAAGCCCAAGTGTCTGCAGCTTTGCCAGTTTAATAAATATAAACTATGCTTAAGAAGTGTGAAAAGTTGGAACTGAAGTTTTGTCTACGCTGTAATTGTTTTGGATGGATTTCACCCAATGCACTGGATCTGTTCTTGAAGTACAGTTTGATCACTGTAGTATGATTACTGTAGTCCACCATTAAGAATAGTTTATTGAACCCTAGGAAGTTTCTCCTTTATGATTTGGGCTCATCCAATTTAAATGTCCTTGACATTGAAAGCTCAGCAGATCATTCCAGATAGATAGCTTTAAATTTCTTGGGATACGTTATATGAGGAAGGCCCTGGACCATGGCTTACACCTGCTTATATTCAGATCTACCTGTTGAATTTTTAATAAGGACTACGGTGATTTATCCAGAAGAGTAACAATTACCTACATGCTTATCTGAGGTTTCCTTAACTGTAAATATAAGAGATCATACCACGAAGTCAACATTATGTTTAGTATGGGGATTTTGACTGCTCCATTGTGATTGTGTGCTTTAGAATGTGTACTTTCATGAAAACTCTGGGTTAGATTGTAAAATAACTTTTGAAAGAGAAAGACAACTGAGATTTTTCTGGATGAGTTACAATTCTCTACATGCTTATCTGTACATAACTGTAAATACAAGAGGTCATATCTTGTTGTTAATATTGTGCCTTGTGTGGAGATTTGGAATGCTCCATTGTGCTTGTGTGATGACCTTTAGAATGGAAACGCTGGAATAGGTTGTAAAATAAGCTTTTACATATAGAGAGGATAGGGACAACATCTCCTAAGATTTCAGATCTTTTTCCAGGGCCTTTTTCTGAGAGAGTGGAAATGCAACGTTTGAGACCCTGCCCTTGGACCTAGAGTAATTCATAGATCTGAAAAGAATCTGGGATGTCTAGGTGGATGCTTAAAACCCACCCATGCTTCTTCCCTTGTCTCCTATTTCTTATTTTGTCCCCAGGGAATAAGGAATTAACTCTGAAGAATGACAAAAGAAACATCTTGTGAAGGGCTTGAGAAATATTCAACCAGACCAATGGAATATTAATATTCCCCAAATAGCTTTGAATTTGCAAGCAGTCCGTGTGTAAACAACTAAACCTGCCTTTGCATGTGGGTTTCCTAGCTAGATACTGGTTTGGTGACACCTGATCAGTTTGCCATACGATCAGGTGAGTATGTATTTGCTCAAATCTAGAAGTCTACTTTATTTATTTATTTTATTTATTTATCAAATGTATTGGCGGGCCATCTTCCCACAAGGTTTTTTTTATATATAAAAAATGCCCTTTGTACTTGAACTGTCAATCAGAACTAAAACCCATTCCTGGATCTGATAAATCCCAGTCATGACGAAGAGATGGAAGTATTCTTATTAAATGACTAAGACCCAGCTGTTGTGAAGCCAATGGCCAAATATTTACTTCTAGCCCAGCTTGGGCCCTTCCATGATTGTCAATGTGTTTTCCCCTTTTATATATGTTTGTAATACCACTTTTTGTATGAATTAAGGATATGGTGTGGATATGACTTGAGAGATAGTAGTTCAGCCATATATTCATTGTGTATCAGTTGGAGGACGAGGAGTTATTGGAAGGGCTGCCGTGATTTCATATATTTCCAAATCTGCTAGCATTGCTACTAAAGGACAAGATATTTTCATTTCAAACTTGAGAAGAATTCATGTGTGAATTTATTGCAACACCCATGCAGGGTCCAAAACCAGATGATGGTTCTTGATATTCCCAAGAGAATCAGACCTACGGTTTTTGGGGGGTTTTTTTTTGGTAACTGGGCAAAATTGGATCTTGGAAATAGACTACTTTTCCTTGAAGATAACCAAGTTTATATAGCTCTGTATTCTTGATGAATTTGATGAAACAATCACGCAAATGAAATACATTCAACTTTATTAATGTGCTGACAGTAGAATCTAGCAGATCAAGGGGGGGGAATTGATTTGAAGGGCGAAGGTAGAGAGGGGATACAAAGAGTGTAACTACATGGGATAGAAAGAGACACTATGGGTCACACTAAAGTTTAGGAAAGAATGAAGAATGCCCAGGAGAAGGGACTCCGTTCTCCTGACGAATGGAGTTAACAACTTCCAGATTTTGACACACTCTTCACAATGGTCTTGCTTTCATGCGTCACTTGACAGGTGAAAGTGTCATATTTTTCATAGTCAGATGCATTCAATTTCAGGTAACTGCTGGCAAGGTATTTGTCCCCTTGCTTGGTGGCCTTGGTTGTCTCCACTCCAGATGTTATCACTTTATCATCACATTTCCATTGCAGGTTGAAACCAGGTGGGTAAAAGCCGCTCACGAGACAGACCACCGTATGTGGGTTCGGGCTTCTGATCTCTTCCTGGGAAGGAGCAAAGACTTGCACCGAAGGAGATACAGTGGGCTGACCTGGAAGAGAGGAAGATCTCATGAAGTTCCACACACTGCATCTTAAAACCTCAACACGACATTGACAGAGTAACAAGACTGATGCAATATCAAGAGACAGTCCTCTACTTTTCACCTTTCGTTTAGTGATAGTTCGAAATGATAACAGCACTGAACAAAGTGAGTTAATGACAGTTTGTTCCACTTACAACCTTTGCGTCATCCCCATCGTCAGGTGATCAGAATTCACATCCTTGGAAAGTGACATGTATTTATGACGGTTGCAGTGTCTTGGGGGTCCTGTGATCCCCTTTTGCAAGCAAAGAGACCCTATGCCATTTCAGATAGGTCCAGTTATTTATGAAAAACCTCTAGTGATGAAGCATCTTACAACTTCTGGAGGCAAGCTGTTCCACTAGTTAATTGTTCTCGCTGCCAGGAAATTCCTCCTTAGTTCTAGGTTGCTTCTCTCCTTGATTAGTTTCCATCCATTGTTTTTTTTTATCTTGCCTTCTGGTGCTTTGGAAAATAATTTGATCCCCTTTTATTTGTGGCAGCCCCTCAAATACTGGAATGCTGGTATCATGTCACCCCCGAGTCCTTCTTTTCTCTAGACTGGCCATTCCCAGTTCCTGCAACTGTTCTTCAGATGTTCTTAGTTGTTTTTCTTTGCACTTTGTCCAAAGTCTCAACATCTTTTTTTGTAATGCGGTGACCAAAACTGAATGCAGTATTCCAGGAGTGGTCTTGCTAAGGCTTTATACAGCGGTACTCCTATTTCACGTGATTTTGATTCTATGCCTCCGTTTACACGACTTAGTGACTGTCAGACACAACTAAGCAACTGAACAAACAACCATAGTTTTAATGCATGAACAAAAGAGATTAAGTGAGAAACTCTTTTGTGTTGGTGTTGGGATCTAAATAAAATTGTGATTTGGTATGATATGATTTGATTTCCCAATCTTAGTGCTATAAACTGAAGTGGTTTGCCTTTGCTGCCTTTGTTGGCTGAAAGAGAGGGACTGGACCAAAGTCACCCACTGGCTTTGCACCTAAAGTGGATCTAGAACTTAAAATCCCTCTCTTTGAACCTTAGAAAGAAGCAGGCAAGTAAACCACTTCTGAAAATCTTGCCAAGAAAACTTCAGGGATTTGTCCAGACAGTCACCAAGAGTCAACAAAATAAAATCATAATGAGAAAAAAGTTAAAGTTAAAACTAAATAACGTTAAAGTTTAAAGTTAAAACCAAGTAAAGGAGTTATTTTCTCTGTGTTTAATAACAGCCACTTTAAAAATCAGGTTTCAGCGATAAATGTGGTTGGCTTGGGAAGGTTTGAGAGAAAAGTCATCTCAAAATTCAAATTTGGTCCTTCTGATATCATCTCTAAATAGTAACTACAGAGCATCCAGAAGTCTATCTTTTAAGTAAGCTATAACAATCAAGGGGACTGGAGGCTAAAACATATAAGGAACAGTTGCTGGAACTGGGTATGTCTAGTTTAATGAAGAGAAGAAAGAGGGGGGACATGATAGCAGTCTTCCAATATCTCAGGGGCTGCCCCAAAAAAGAGGGAGTCAAGCTATTCTCCAAGGTGCCTGAAGGCAGGACAAGAAACAATGGATGGAAACCAAGCAAGGAGAGAACCATCCTAGAACTAAAGAGAAATTTCCTGACAGTTAATAAACAGATACATGGAACACAACATTAACACATCAAGGATCATATCAATCAATCAATAATCAAGGAAGCAACTGAAGTTACAGAATTTTGGACCTATCCAATTTCAGCTCTGGAAAGAAAGAGAGAGAGAGAGAGAGAGAGAGAGAAAGAGAGAGAGAATATTCTAATACCATAAATAATCTAGACAAGATCTGTATAAAACTTTCCATTCCTTTGCTAGTTTGTAATGGGTTGTAAAATCAGCAAACTGAAATATGATAGTTAAGAATGACAAAAGGGGTATGAAAGCTAGTTTCAGTGTCCTAGTTTTAATTAAACATTTGGAAGATCCCTGGTTGATTCCAAGTTTTTTTTTAAAGCAAAGGAATTATTTGTCTATCTCAGACAAGGAGAAAACAGATATTTTTCCTGATGGGATTAAGAGTGGATTTGAGCAAGGAGGAACTAAAATTAGATAGCAAAATTCTGATCACCGCTGAATGCTGTTGACTATCAATTGATAAGAAAATCTCTTATTCCTTTCACTATGCATTTGCTTTCTATTGCCAAGTCATACTACCATCTTTTATCGATGCATTTGTTTTTTTTAAGCAAAATAAAGGTAAAATTAAAACAAAACGAGAAAACCAAACCAAACCCAAGATTTTATCCCATTGAAATTTGAGAGTTTGTAATTTTCGTATGCAATGTTCAAATTCTCTAGCTCCAGGTTGCCCTATGCTTCATTTTATCTCTGTGAAATTTCACCTCTATTTATAAAAAAATCCTTTCCCATTGACAAAGTAAAACAAATGTGAAGATTCAGTTTTGAATCTTGATTTTAAAAAAAAAAGATCAGAAGGTTTTGCTTATGATTGGTGAATTGCCAAGCAATGCATCCCTTTCAAGATATTTTGATTATTAGGTACTAATATTATATAAATAATGTTTTAAGATGATTTTTAAGATGATATACCTCAACTCTATGAACCAAAACATTAGTCACAGATCCTAACCTTTTTTATATATATAAAAAGAATGATCAGTGCTGGTCTTAACACAAATTCAACCATGATACTTGTCAAGGACTTACAGTATTTTCATAGGGGAAAAAATTATTTAGAACTTCAAAGATTATCTTAACCTTCCCTCATTTTATTCCTTCAGTTCAAATCTGTAGAAATTAGCAGGAGGAATATTTGCAATTAGATAAAGAAATCTAAACATTCAAGCAAGGGAAAAACTGAATTTTATTTAAGGTTACAAGTTCTATTTCCCTGCTTTTTCAAAACTGCCTCTGCCTTTTGCCTTAAAATCAGATATGGCATGGAAACTCACATTTTAACATTTTGCAACACACAAACACATACGAACACAAAAAGATTAGAGAGATTCGATATACTTTTGCTATTTTTCTTACGTTGACTTGTTTAAATCTACTTTACTGCATTCATTGTTTGACCAATCAAAAAGACTTGATAGGATTCGATTTTTTAAATTATCTAATTATCTAAAAAGCTAAATCCTCTTTAAATCAACTGTGTGCAAATAAAATGAGATATTAAAGAAGTGTACAACACTTTGCTTGATATTTTGCCATCATCATCACCTGGATTTTGTTTTCTTGAAAAGGACAGTGAGAGACAAACTATTAAACACAATAAGGACAGATAAGCATGCTTTTTAGAGGAAAAAATATAACACCTTGGAGAAAAAAAGGATCACGAAAGCAAAATGTGATGAACATAAATAGTTGGATCACTTCATCCTCTATTTGTAAACATGGCTTAATCCAAGTAAGGGCATATTATATTTCAGACTTAATCAGCTCAAAAAAGACAACCCCCCCCTTTATATTTAATCTATTTGAGACTTCTTTATTCAACATCAAAGAAAAAACCAGCATTTTTTTAACGTAAACTGATGAGCTACACCGAAGATGCTTCATTCGAGACAGAGAAAAGAAAAACAACAACAACACCACAAATTAAAATAACAAACAGTTGGGAAAAAATTGTATTGGCATTTAAAAAAGATTTACCTGTGACTGTCATTTGGGTTCCACCGCCGAAGATATACACACAGTGAGTGAGGGCCATACAAAAATATTTCCTCTAGAACTTTACTTCTGCTTTCTGATCTTGGATTTTATTTGGGGGGTTTTTATTTATTTTTTATAAGTCTTTTTTCAAAGTCATAATTCGCTTTGCAAAACTTAACTCGTTTGGCAAACACAATAATATTTTTCCACATTTTTTTTTTGAACTGGCAGGCAAGCCGGATAGCATATTCTATGGCAGTTCTTTGCCATTTTTCCCACTAAGGTAATCCCCGCAAAGAGAAGGAACACTCTGCTCAAAATGTTTCTATGAAATTCCACATTCTTTTCAACTCATCATCAAACAATTTCTCTCCCATTCTCAGATATTTGGTTAATAGGGCCATAGAATCACTAAGAGTTGGACGTGACTGATGGATAACATCTTTATCATATCATCATCCTATCCAGAAACAGTAGGAAAACAGTATATTGACGTTTTAAAAAGACTTACCTGTGACTGTCAGATGGGTTCCATCGCCGAAGATAATCACACAGTGAGTAATGATCATACAAAAACATTTACTTCTGCTTTCTGATCTTGGATTTTATCTATCTATCTGTCTGTCTATCTATCTATCTGTCTGTCTGTCTGTCTGTCTGTCTGTTTATCTATCTATATCTATATCTATATCTATATCTATCTATATATCTATATCTATATCTATATATCTATATATATACGGTATATATACAGGAAGTTTTTCACACAGACCGGTCTGATTGATTACACCTTGACATTTTTAACTGCTATACTGCAGTTTTACATTTTATAATATCTTTTGCCTTGCAGCCCCCCAACTAGGGGCGTTAAACAGGCTCAAGTCGCAACTGCGAAACATTTTAAATCCAAATTTCTTTTTCTGACAAAAATAATAATATAAATACAATAATAATATAAATACAAAATAAAATAATGGGAAAGTAAGGGAGGAAAAAGGGAAGAGAAAGCGTAGGGCAAGAGAGAGAGAGAAAAAGAAAAGCATTGACTTCCAATTCCTTTTGGTGCAGTAGAATAAGATAATAGCATCAAACCTCAACTTTTTATTTTTATATAATAATATAAACTAGCCATTTTTATAACAACGCACCTATCTAATCGGCAAAAGCTAAAATCAAAGTTTTATTTTTTTTCCATCTCAAGGAAAAAGACCAGAAGGGGTTTCCAAGTAAAAACAAAAGTAATTGTGTTCTTTTCTTTAATCAAAGCAGTTAATTTAGCCATCTCTGCTAACTCCATCAAGTTGTGTGGCTTTGCTGTTTTGAGTTGGACCACCCTCGCTTCTACTAAGTTCTTTTTTCAAAGTCATAATTCGCTTTCCAAAACTTACTCACTTGGCAAACACAATCGTATTTCCAAATTTCTTTTTTTGAACGAGGAGGCAAGCTGGACCGCATATTCTATGGAAGTTCTTTGCAATTTTTCCCACTAAGCTAATCCCGCAGGGAGAAGGAACACTCTGCTCAAAATGTTTCCATGAAATTCCACATTCTTTTCAGCCCATCCTCAAACATTTTCTCTCCCATTCTCAGATGCTTGGTTAATTGGGCCAGAAAAATGTACATTAGTTCATCTGTTTGAGAGTTCTTTATACAACGCTAAGTAATAATAATAATAATAATAATAATAATAATAATAATAATAATAGTAAAGTTGGAAGGAACAAGTAGCACAAGATTGGAAGATGTGGAGAGCCCCGGCCCATAGAATTAGTAAGAATTGGACATGACTGAATGGATAACACCTTCAACATATCATCATCCAATCCAGAAACAGTTGGAAAACAATTGTATCGGTATTTTAAAGAGACTTACCTATCACTGTCATTCAAGTTCTTTTGCCACACATCAAATAATGGCCACACAACAATACTATATAATAATCTATTTCCATGAACGTCCATGAATTCCACACTCTCTTCAACCCATCATTGACATTCTCAAATATTTGCTTAATAATAATTGATTTTAGAAATAAAATGACGTCACCGCTTTCTTAAATACCCTCACATGTGAATAATTTAGATTGTAACAATTAGGCATGACACAACTGAAGAGAAATTAAAGCCATAGGGAAGCAATTTCCCTTCCTACCTGAATTCTAAGTCCACTGTGAACTTTCTTCGACGTTTTGAATCAGAAGAATTAAGGTGCTTTCATCCAGGAACCAGACGTATCTTGGCTCATCCAGAACTATTCCAAATACTTTACCCAAAAGAAGGGATTTCTTTGTAGCATCTTTGACAAATTAATGGTGGAGGCAGAGAAGAAGACGGTGAAATAAAACTCATCCATTTCGTCCAGTGGAACTTGCATATGAAAACTTTTTCTTAGAAATAGTGGATGTTGGATAGATCCCTGGGCATTAATCCGAAACCACAGTGCCATTCTCTTTTGAGGCAGGAAGACAGTTTTTCTAGAACAGGTCTTGCTCTCTGATTGGGAAAACTATAATCCATTTAGCTTCGTTCTTCTCCATTTTCCAAAGGCAGGTTCTTTTATTTTCAAAATAACATTATCCACAAATAAGAGGTTTTAAAAGATCAAGGGAGGCCCAATATATCCAGAAGTATGATCAATCTTTAGCGCGGAAAAAGTAAAGAAAGAAAATGGCCCTGAAACTGCTTTAAATATGAAGGAATATTTAGTGGCCACAGAAAATGGTCAATCTGAGGGATAGAAACAGAAAGAAACCAAAACCCACCTACAATTATAAACGTAGGCTCCTAAGCAGGAGTGTTGTGTGACCTTTTGTTGTAAATCCAATTAAACCATCAGTTTATCTTTACCTGAAAGGCATCGAGTGGTACCTGCAGCCTAAAAATAATGGCTTAAAAAAAAGAGAGAGGCTTTCCCATTTGCATTCCTATCACCACTAAGATATCCATTAGAGAAGAGCTATTCAAAATGGTGTCCATATGGCCAAGCGATCCCATTTCCTGGCCAGCCAGAAGATCCACAAGATTTCCATGGAAACCACCACAGGAGGAAGAGAAAGATACGTGATCAAGGTAATCACATCAAGCCCAGTTCATACGCACAAAGCTTGAGTACTCCCTTCTCCACTTCTGAAGGCATCTGGTAACCTTCAAGAACAAACGTTCATCAGATGCATCTGGCATTTTCGGAAACCACAAAGAACCGTTTTCCTTACCACATGACTTTGCATTTTTTGTCCATCAGTCCTCAGTTGGGGAAGGGGTTAGATTCTCCATGGCCCAAACATCTGTCAGTGACATAGTTAATGGCTGGAAAGGGAAAGGTAGAGAATTTGGGGCCATTATTAGAGAACCACAAACGCTGAAACAGATTTTCTTAAGAGTTCAACATTCATTGTTAAAACCCAAACTGGAAAAGACTTGTAAGCCATCAATCCAAAGCTTTGCTCAGGACTGGAAGTTAAGAGTATTTCCATATAGCACAGTTACTTCTAGTAAGAAAAGTCTAGTTAGAGAGAATTCCATCGTTTTTACAATATAGGAATGCCCAAAGATGATCTCTTTTTTTTTTTTGCTAATTTACTCATTTGATGGAAGACCAATCAATTCAGCTAGATCTAATTATATTGGCTAATATGTACAACTATTTGATTACGACGTTCTATATTAATATATTGGATATATTACATTGTCTGGAACAACAGTAGTTCCCGAAGGACAACACAGCACACTTCAGCAAAAAAGAATGTTGCACATTTCAGTAAATTGTTAAAAACAAATAAATAAACACCGTTCTCACCTGAACACCACACAAAAAGTTCAGTAATATGGAAATGCCAGCGATTAGATTTGGATTATGATTCGATTTCAAAACGTTGATTGGTTTCTCTTCAAAACGAGGTTTTGATGATTAATGTTAAACTAATGTGAAAAGAACTAAGTTAAAAACCCTGAACTGTTTGGGGGCTGTACCAAACCAGATAGTTATAGAAGTACAAATGTCAGATTTGGTAATTCCTCTGTAGAACTGTATCAGCAGTTTCTTCGCATTGAACATCTTGAGTTGGTTTCTTCTTGACCTATTTCACCATCTGCTGGCAAGATCTGGCTTTTCAGTTGTTTTTCAGTCATAATCTGGGTATCAAAACACAAGTGGGGGATGCTCATGACTTAGGTCACATCCCCCTCCGATGGTACTGAATAAAGTTGCATGTGCATTTTAAAATTTCAACTCTCTTTTTTGCAAACCATCTCACTCTGGAGAAGTCCTGAAGATGGCAGCAGAACCAAAGCGATGCCAAAAGGCGGCTTATTTCTCCAGCTTCCTCCTCCAAATAAAATACAGGATATAAAAGGTCACGACGGCCAGCTGAGCTCAGATGTGAAGGCTGTTACTAAGCATTCCTGATGCTCAAAAAGTCACTTGAGAAGAAAAACAGAAGTGAAAATGTCTTCGGCTTTCCAGATGCTCAAAATGGTCACTGGGAAATAAACACATTTTTGGTTAGAAGAAGAAGAAAACAAGAAAATATCTTCTTAAAAGAAAAACTCATCAAATCAACACTTGTGATGACATGCAAGGCAATCTGGTTACTTTCTCCCTACTGACTTTTTAAAGTAAAGAATACTGTATCAGAGTGAGTTGGATTGAATGCATTATTGCGGTGGCATTTTGCCTTATTAAGAGTTTTATTTTTTTCTATAATGATTTGTTAAATTTGTCTACTGCCTAATTCCCATGGGCAGTTGATTATACTTCTATTGTATATGAGTTATGGACAGTCTCTTTTGACTGCAAGGGAATGCAAGTCCAAGAAATAAATAAACGGACTTCAAAGAGGATAGAGAATGAAGGAATGAAGGTTAAACTTATCTATGGTGCCAAGTATCTTGTTCTTTATCCATGGTTTTGTGTGTGTGTGTGTTTGTGGGTGTTTTCATTATATGTGAGGGCAAAATGACCCACAGAAGTTTGCAAAATGTGTAAAGTAGTTATCTTTACGTTTTCCTTATCTATGTTGAGACTGAAACAAGATCCAATGAATAACCAATGACCACTTGTAGAATATTTATAGCTCAAGGTTGAAATGAGGGATCCTTGGTGCTCTCTGAGCTTGGTGTTTTTCTTGAAGATGTTTCATTACCCAAACTAGGTAACATAATCAGTATTAGGGTTTCCCCCCCCCACAAGCACTGACCATGTTACCTAGTTTGGGTAATGGAACATCTTCAAGAAAACCACCAAGCCCAGAGGACACCAAGGACCCCTCATGTTGTTCAAAACTAGTTGGGTGGAGGATTGCTATCTCAAGGTTGTGAGGTGTCCAAGGGATTTCTGGGGGCTGTGATGATGAACCATTAATTTAATAATTGTTCCAATATCTAAGGAACTGCCACAAAGAAGAGGGGGTCAACCTATTCTCCAAGCCACCAGAAGGCAGGACAAGAAGCAACGGATGGAAACTAATCAAGGAGAGAAGCAACCTAGAACTAAGGAGGAATTTTCTGACAGAACAATTAATCAGTGGAACAACTTGCCTCCAGAAGTTGTGGGTGCTCCAACACTGGGAGTTTTTTAAGAAGAGACTGGACAGCCATTTGTCTGAAATGGTATAGGGTTTCCTGCCTGAGCAGGGGGTTGGACTAGAAGACTTCCAATTCCAATTCTGTTATTTTATTTATTTATTAAATTTCTATGCCACCCATCTCACTGATAACGACGATTCTGGGCAGCTGGTGATAAAATGTGAGAAAGTGCTAGAACTTAATTAAAATTAGAAAATTGAATAGAAAAAAAAAACTTTGAGTTGCTAGAGGTTGCTCTGCAGCTGAAAAAAAAAAAACCTCAAGGAGAGATTTTGCTTTTCAGAAGCAACATGCTGTAGAAATGGGAAGGACAGTTTTTGTCTCACTTCTCCATCAGAAGGCATCACTGTGAAACGTGTTGCTGTACCAGGTGGCACAATAATAATCAGCCTCATCTTCAGCCATAACTCCAGAAATGGTTAAAAAACCGCTATTTGTGGAGGTTTCTTTGGAACCGGAGAATCGAGAGGGAACTCCAGAGCCTTGTCCCTTGTCTGAATCTGTGTGGTAGTGTAAGAGAAAACGTGGAGAACTTGGAGACTTGTGTTGGTACCAACGTATCCTGTAGCTGCCAATGCTGACCCCACTGGCCAAGATGCAGGGCAGTTTCACCGTGTTTCTGAGGGACACTGAAGCTGATGGAGGCTGAGACACCACGGGCTGGGAGGTTGATGCTGGAAAAAAATAAACAGAGCAAATGGTTACACTCCACCTGATCATGAGCTGCAGCGTCTCTTATAACCCGCACCTGATCATGAAGAGAAAGACTAGGGGTTGACATGAAGTTGGCCTATTCTCCAAAGTACCTGAGGGCAGGAGAAGAAGTCACAGATGGAAGCTTACCAAAGAGAGATCCAATCTAGAGCTAAGGAGAAATTTCCTGATAGCGAGAACAATTAATCAGTAGGAGGACTTGCCTCCAGAATTTGTGGGTGATGCTCCATCACTGGAGGCTTTTAAGAAGAGACTGGACAGCTATTTGTCCAGAATTGTATAGAACCTCCTGCTTGAGCAGGGACTTGGAGTAGAAGACCTCCAAGGTCCCTTCCATCTCAGTTATTCTGTATTTGCATCTCACCTCTGCCCCATACTACCAAGAAGCTCAGAATGGAAGCCCAGAACATGGTGATGTAATCAGGTGGCCCAAATGGAACAGGAAACCAAAGAGACTCACCATGGAGAATATCTTCTACGTTGTTGTCCTTTATACCTTGCTTGCACGACGTGGTGGAGACTTTCGGTTCCTCCTCTATTCTAACCAGGTCTTGCTTGAGTGCTCCTCAGATGCTTAAAGGCAGAATTGGGGGTTGAATGCTCCTCACACTAGCTGTTGTTTCTCTTGGCGTCTGCCTTGCTTAGTTCTAGTCTGCTTTATCCAGCATTGCGACAAGGAAATGATTTGCTATGAAGAAGGGAGGTTCCCCTTGATGGTAGAGGTCCACCAACTTCTTCTGATTAGGAAGTTCTTATCTAAAGCTTCCTACTATCCATCGATGCCGAATCTCTTGATCACCATCTCAGCACTCTCACTTTTTACCAGCCAGATGCAAAACCAATCAGAACTAGATCGTGAGATTAAAATGCGCCTTTGGGCTGCCATTCCTGAATTTGGCTTGGAAGAATTGCTCCAAATTATCTAGGGCAAAAAGTGTGTGCCCCCCCCCGTGGAGAGAATTTTGAGATATTGAGAGCCCAGATGAGCATATCTGCCTGCCAAGAGGGCTCTGCCTGCCAAGTTGGTCATCTCAGTAGCTTCCTTGCAACTAAATACATCATATCATGTATCTTTGAAATGTCACAATATACAGTAGAGAGTTGGGAAGAGCTCATTTTGATGGACTATTTTCAGGTTCCTTAAATCTTGTGAATTGACATGGAGTGATGGCGAGGAGAGTGATCTAGCTATCTCTCACACTGGCTAACCATCATGGTTAGCCAGTGTGAGAGATAGGGATTATTCATCTTCCCTGGAAAAATTGATGGATCATTTTCAGTGGTGGGATTCAAATATGGGAACAACCGGTTCTGTGTGTGGATGCCGCTTCTGGAAGTCCATCCTGGCCCTGGGCAACAAAAAATTAGCTACCGGTTCTGCCAAAGTGGTGAGAACTGGCTGAATCCCACATTCTATTCTATTCTATTCTATTCTATTCTATTCTATTCTATTCTATTCTATTCTATTCTATTCTAGTCTTCATTCTTTCTATTCTATTCTATTCTATTCTGTTCTGTTCTGTTCTGTTCTGTTCTATTCTTCATTCTTTCTATTCTATTCTATTCTATTCTATTCTATTCTATTCTATTCTATTCTATTCTATTCTATTCTATTCTAGTCTTCATTCTTTCTATTCTATTCTATTCTATTCTATTCTATTCTATTCTATTCTATTCTACCTGGATAGACCTGGATATCTCCGAGACCGCCTTCTGGATATCTCCGAGACCGCCTGGATAGACCTGGATATCTCCGAGACCGCCTTCTGCCGCAGGTTACCTCCT